TACCATATTACAGGAGAGAAAACTGATGCTCTTTCTGCCTATTTTTCTTTTCTGTTCAGTGGTCCCAAACTTTCCTGTCTTTTCAGATTTGTATTTGACTACTGTATAGTTACTGTCTTACTAGTTTTTACAAATTACTCTTACTAGTTTTTACAAATTATTTACCGCAATATGTCAGAGACTAGCTTGACAATCAGATCATGTCCTTGCTTTGCTCTTCCCAAGTAATTTGCCTTTGCAGCAGTGAAGATTTTAAAAAGTTATTACTTGCTGGTATGTCATGCAGTCCTCTTGTTCTTATTTTCTCTGCCAAAAAGTAGTTAATTAGTTGAGTAAAAGAGATGTCTTGCAGTGAATCAATACTGAAAAATGAAACAGACTTCATACCTCCAGCAAGGTGTTTACAAGCTTGGGAGAAGTGAAAAAAATCAGATCATAACACTAAGAGAGGAAAGAAGAGGACAAAAACAGTTTCTCACTTGTTAATTTGAAAAGGGGAACTTTCTTGCAATATGACTTGCCTCTGTAGCACCCTGCAGTCAAACTGGAGCTTGCGGTTTTCTTATTTGGAGCATTACTTTTGTTGCGTGCTTGCAGGGTATATGAGAGTTTTTGTGTGTTCACTTTTGATCCAGGTTGTGGTTTGTTGTCATCTTATTGCAAAAGTTCCATGCCTTCTTGGTGATTTCTCATGGTCAACTCCTCACAGCACTGACTCTTTCTTCCTCACAGCCAGCAAACCCCACCCACTTCTCTCCTCACCCAGCTAACCCACTCTTTTGTAGCACTCATCTTGTCATCAGACACAGCTGTGGCCTGTTAAGGGCAGGCCTGTTTCTAATCTTTGGTGATTAGTACAGCTGCAACTCCTCAGGTGTGAGACTACCTTCTGTACTATCTTTATTTTCTTACATTCTGTACCTCCACAGTGGTTTAGAGGAATAAATGCAGCAAGTCCCTAGTGGTGAACAACAGGTGATCTCACCTGAAGAGCTTACTCATGGTGGGTGAAGTAACTCTTGCTCCCTACCTTTTATCATTTTAAGTGCGTTGGAGCATTCTTCCAGGCAGAGTTCTGCTGAGGGTTTTGTCAGTTTTGTAGGTGTCTCTCTAAATGGGTCTTAAAAATGTAGTTGGTATTTCTTAATGGCACTTAAAGCAGAGCAAGAAAGCACAGTCTCAGTCTTTCTCTTCGGCATTATCGTCTTTAAGATTTTCTTTTAAATGGTGATTAGCCTATATTTCAAGGAAATGTTCAGTTCAAATATGAATGATTCATATTTCCTTATGTTATTGCCCAAATAAATCAATGGCTGATTTAATTCAAATATTGAGAATAAGTGGGACACATTTTTTTGTTTTCAAGCCCCCTGAAAACACAACACACTGTTATATGGCTTGGGAAGACCCACACAGACATTCTATGCATCCCTAAAGAAAACAGTCTCCAGGATTCTCATAAGCACCTCACTGCTGAGCTGTTTCTGCTTCATTTCATAAATGAAAAACAAATGGGACAAATTTGCCAAACAGCTGTAATAAAGAAAAAGAACATAAACCTTTTAGATGGAGCTCATGGGTTCTGCTCCCCACACTACTAAAGTGTTAATACAACCAAAGAGTGCTAGTTTCAATATAGCTGTGGCACAAATGTAATACTTACTGGCTCACAGGAGCAATTTATGAGGCGGAATTTTTTTGTTAGTTTCTTCTTTTGTATGTCTTCTGTTGATCAAGATAACATCTCTGATTTTTACTACAACATCCTAATGTTTTTATTAAGATATTTAAGGCATGTAATGCAATGAGTGAGAATAATTACCACTATATGTAACTCAGCAGTGTCTTTAGATACGTGGATCCCTCTCAGAAATGGCTTTATCTTGAATTTCCTCAGTGGTGAAGCAAAGCTTCCTTTGGCACCGAAAGAAAAGTGTCATAAAAATCCTCTTGGTAAAATTGCAGTCATAGCAGGTTTAGAATTTACCTTTATACTGCTGTACAGACTCTGAATGAAGAATACAGGGAAAATGTGTGATTTTTTGATTAGGGCACAAGTTGAACAGACCTTAAAAGAGGTTAAAAAAAATGGCAAAGGCTGTTTGAGCCCCAATTGTAGGGCTCAAAGTATTTTACTGTCTCACCTAGTTTTGGGTAGAGGTCAGAAAGAAAATCACAATAATAATTATTTTGCCTTTCACAGCTGATCCTGGTAGCAAAAGGTAGTTTCAGATAAGATTAGATCTTTTATTCAATGGCTCTTTCAAAGGAAGAAAGTTCTTAGCCTGGGGCCCTGATGTAACTCTTCACTGACTACAATCATGAAAAGATTTCTTTCATTACAGGTTTCCCCTCTCAGCTGTCTGAGTGAGGATTGAAATGGATGTACCCACCAAGCTGGTACAGATGGCTGTGGTTTTGGCTATTGCACAGAATTAACTGGAGCTTTCTATTCCATATATGCCCTTACATTGTCCATACCTCGGTAGCTGAGTGCATTGAACAATCTATGTAGCTTATGTCACACGTTCTTTTTCTCTCTGATCTTTTTCCCTGGAGGGGAAAGATGTGCAGCATGTTGTCTTGCTCTGGGAGCATGGCAAAGAGATTTTAAGATAGCCTGCAGGGTCACCAAGTCTCATCTCTGGCTGTTGCAGAAACCTGCTTTACATAATGCTCTTGTGGGCTGAGCAAGCTCCACTCGAACATCAGACTTTGTGCTGCTACTGGACAGCTGTTATGCTACTTTCATATAAGGATTGGATATCTTTCCTTTAGAGCTGCAGATTTTCTGCCTTGTTTTTTGCCTATTTCATCTTGTGTTCATGTTGTTCTTGATCTTAATTAGCTTTTTCCCTTCTGGACTCTCTGTCACACTTACTGAATTTATAGACACCAATCTTTCTCTTAGCATATGTTTTGGTAGGCTGTTGTACTGTTAGTATGAGTTTGACTATGTTTGAGATAATTGTGATTTCATCAAAATTAAAGTTGAGAAAAATCAAACCAAATGGATTTAATTTTTCATTTCTTGCAACCATTAACTTGAACTACAGCAAAATTAATGCTTTACTGATGTACGACAGAACCTTTCTTTAAAGTTTGGGTAAGAAACCTGGTATATATATATATTTTTAATAGGCACTGCCTAAACATCTAATAGCTTTATTCAGTTTAGTCTCCTGTCCCTCCTTAGATAGGACTTTAAGAATAACTGTACTGGTTTCAAAGGAGTCTCTGTTGAACAAAGTTCCACATGAAATTGGGAAATATATCCTGCTGACACATAAAGTTCTTGCTAGTGACAAATCAGGGGTGAGGTTGTCCTGCCTCAGTCTGGAACTTGAGGCAAGTCATCAAAGCAGCACGGTTCAAACTGCACTGCCTTGGAGTAAGTCCCTTGGTGAGTGCAGGTCCTGGCATATAAATACCTGGAAATGGCTCCATCTGGGTTGTTCTCAGCATATGACAAGGCCACAGGGTTTACCCAAGTACAGGGTTGTGGGATTGGGCTGCTTGGTGTTGAGTTCCCACCAGGCACAGATCTTCCTCTCCTCCCCACACCCATGCAGGACTGCTGCTCAGGAGTACCTCTGGCTCACAGAAAAAAAAGCAGAATTGACCTGATTGCTGAGTATGATGTTGAGTCACAGGCTAGAAAAGAGGCCATTGTGCTGCGCTTGAAATTTATGAGAAACTAGGGCAGCTCAGTGCAAAGGGCCGGGGAACTTCAGTTTTGTGTTTGACACTAGACCTGTCAGGTTTGTCTGCAACTTAGTATGACAATGACTGTCATAGTGCGTCTGCATAGTGTTGATCTGTGGAAAATGATCCATGTTTTTGGAAAAATGCACATATTTCTACTGGGTTTATACAGAGTGCCTGAACTGTCTCCTGCTGCATTTTCTTTCTGATGACTGCACTTTTGAGGAGTTTTAATTTTTTTTTTCTTTTTAAGAAATTTAGCCTAATTCAGAAGTCCCCCTCTTTGCAATTTGCTGTTTCAAACAGTTGCTGGAAACAGGGAAGTGGGACCTCCTCAATCACCCCTTGCTTGAAAAGATCAGAGTCTAGAGGTGATCAGCATATCTGATTTTACTCCCTTATTAGATGAAAGAAACATTATGGATTTGGATAACATCAAATTAATTATTCTCTTTTTGAACCATTTCTTGTTACTGTTAATAGATATGGGGTTTTTTTAATCCATCTGTTCCTCTTACGTGATGGGTGTTCATCATAAGTCCTGTGCTCATGTCAGACATAAAATATTCAAAGAAAACTTGGGGTTTCACCTGTTTCCATAGCAGAAGGCCCTCTGAGTTTTGTAAAACTGTTGTTTTGGCTTGCTGAATGTATAAATAGATGTGAATTTGAGAATCAGGTTTTATACATAGTTTGGACCATACAGTTTAAGTATTTCTGCCTTGGAAAGGGTTATTTCTGAAGTTCTTTCGGTTAGAAAGTGTCCTATTCTAAGAGACACATCATCAAGCCTAAATTTTAGCTGTCATAAACATTGCTTGGTCAAATTAGACTTTGAAAATGTTGCCAGATCAGCATGTTTTAAATGTGCATCCATCATTCATGTTCACTTTTGTGAACATGGACTGCATGTTATGCAGACAGCTTAGAATTAAGTCCTTTTTTCCCTTTCCTGTTACTGTTTTGCTAAATTAGCTCGGCTGTGGGTTATGCCATAGAAATGTCAATAAAACTTCACTCTTACTGTCCATTCTGTCCCCTTTTCTACCTATCCATTCCTTGTTTAATATCCCCTTTACTGTCTGTTGTAAGTCAATGTAAGTAGCCCCTCCCAGGACTGCAGTCTCCAGTTCTGTTAAGACCTATTGATACATGGATATCCTGTTGCTCCACTGAACTCTGAGGATGTTCACTTTGATGGATCTCTTTTGCTCTTCCTTCTACTAATGCTGCTTGATTCTGGAGGGCGAAACTATCACTTTTCCATCACAATTCAATTTTTTTTTTTTTTACAGGAAATTATGGGGAAAGTGGAATGGAAGCCTTCAAAGAGTTGGCTGCCCAAGAGGGTCTCTGCATTGCTCACTCTGACAAGATCTACAGCAACGCCGGCGAGAAGAGCTTTGACCGCCTGCTGCGCAAGCTGCGGGAGAGGCTGCCCAAGGCCAGAGTGGTGGTGTGCTTCTGCGAGGGAATGACCGTCAGGGGCATCCTCATCGCCATGCGCCGCCTGGGGGTGCTCGGCGAGTTCCTGCTCATTGGAAGGTAAGGCTCTGAGCGTGCTTTCTCTGCCTGTCCTCTCCCTCTTGTCCTGTAGGCAGGCCTTTGATTTCAGAACTGTGCAGCTTAGGCTACCGGTGATTTCCATATTTAATTGTCTACGGCATGAAAAGTGGCAAGATGGTGGAGCAGATTCTCAGGAAGGAGATATGGTGATGTGTGCCAGCTTGTCAGTGGTGACAGCTTTTGCTGAAATAAACATTAATAACTTTTTTATATGGATATATGAAATTACTGGTTTTGTGCTTTTGCACACTCTAGACGAATGTTTCATGGACATATTTTTAGACCTGAAGTAGGGAGTGAAGAATTCTGATTTCAGTATATGATCTGTGGCATGTGACAAAATTGTATGTGTTTGAGTAACGATGACCCCTCATAATTTGAAACTCCAATTACCAAGTTTTTTTGATTACTGGAACTTTTTTCCAGTCTCGTGATTATAACCTTGCATTCTCAGTTGTACACTTTGCTGTGATCTTTGCTATTGAAAGCTGGGGCACTGATATTATGCAGACTGGTTTGGTTTTTAAAATGTCAGAATTTCTAATGGCTAAATGAATATGTATGTGTGTCTTTATATCACCAGAGTAACAGTGCAGGTGTGTATTGGACAGAAAAAAACTGTTTTTATCAAAATGAGAATGGTTGCTTTGTTCTACTAGAATTTATCTTTGTAGGTAATCACTGAAATATAGTACATCTAGTTCTATCATGTATTTCATCCACAATTTCATTTTTTTGTGATATTTCTTATTTTGAGGCTTCTTTGACTTTCACCTTGATTTCTGCAATGTCTTTGTCCACTTTTCTGTCTTGATGAACATTGCTCAAATGATGAGGATGGATATTTTCTGTCTTCCATGTTGGATTGATAATGTCTGCTTTAATCCTTTTATTTACTCTCTGTTTCTTTATTTGTAATTTTAACATTCCTTGAAGGAATGTTTAAATTAATTATTTCAAGGCCTTTGTCAGTTGTTTCCATGCCTATTTAGCTTCTGCTGTCATTTGATCCTGGCTTCTATTTGTCCCATTCTTTCCCTAAAGTCTTTGTGTCTGCATTTGTTACTGATATCCTCTCCTTTTGGTCTCTACTGTGGTATTGTCTTCCCCTGACTCCTCAAAACCTACAGTTATGACTTCTACAAGTCAGATACCTACTCTGGCCTAAGGAATAGACTGAAAGCATTAAGTCAATCTCACCAATTTTTTGTTGCAGTCCTTGTTTGCTATTTTTTTGAAGCTGAGGTTCTAGAGTATCTCCAAAAGGTTGTGAAGATAAGATGCAGCACATTTGGACAACTGTCAGCACTAAAATAAAACAAAGAGAAAGACTGGATTGAAAATGGTGTGTTCCAGATTGTGCACATGCAAGTGCACATTTAGTTCAAGTGCATCATTTAGTTTGCATCAGTTGAAATGAATAATGGAAGGCTTTGGGAGTGACACGTTTCATGTATGGGTTTTCAGTGAATAGAAGAAACTGAATATAATAAAATTAGTCTCAGTGACAGCATCCCTGGTCTTTTAGTAAATATCCTGAAGCTTTGGGCAGCGCTGTGCTTTCTTTGCGTATTGTCACAAAGAAACCAGTGTCTCATTGTTCACTGATTTTGTTGCTCCCTCTTGATGCTGATCACACTGAGAACCAAATAAATTAAACCTCATACATTAAGCCACAAACCTTGGTTTCCTATTAAACCACTCAATCCCCTACTCCTTGGATATGTGGAATATTTAAGCTTTAAATTTTGACTTTGAGCCCTTGCCAAACATAACACTGGTCCATAAATTTCAGTTGTTTTTCTTAGAATTTGTTCTACAATGTAATTCTGAGCTTTTTGTCTGAAATGTCCACCTATTAAATGGAATAATGGCATTTTTTTGGAAATCACTATGTATTTTTCAGGTAGATTTTCACATACCCTTCCTTCATGCTGGTAGTTGAGTATGGGAGACTCCTTTTTAGGGCTGAATGGGTTCTGTCAGTTGTAAAACAGGCTGGTTATTGCTTTGCATAGTCTAGATTGTGCACGACAGCTGGTTGAAATAAAAAGTATTATAGGGCTTGCACATGCTCTTATGTGCTTGCAGAACTAAAAGAAAAGAAATTTTCTTTGAATTGTCTTAATTAAGTGATTTTAAAAAATGGCAAATTAGCAAACTTGTGAATAAGTAAGTTGCAGTGGAACTGCAGTGCTATGAATTTGGTCATCTATATACAAACAGGAACCAAGACACACATTAATGTTACTTTGATGTGCTATTCAGTCTTTTTTTTTCAAGTACCCAGCTAAGCAAAAAAACTAAGAGCCTTTTAAGAACATTCTTTTAATTGAAGGAAGTGAGAGTGAATGAGAAATCAAGATATTTTTTTTCAATAATCAGCTAAACAAAGCCTTTAGTTTACCCACAGGTTTATTATCAGCCACATTTTATCAACCCCGCACTCTGCTCTGACTCACTGTAAAGAGGGAGCCTTTGCAAAGGAACACCTGGCTAAATAGTTCTCTTCCTGCTACATCTTCAATACTGCTATTTGTCAAAGTAGACAGGAACAGCTTAGCTTAACTAAATTCATGCTATCAGAAAGAGATCTGGGAAATAAAATTGACTTCTGTTTAATCCTAATTTCAGTCTCCTTTACTACTGGAAGTGGGAGTCTGTTATTTTAGTGAGAAGGGAATTCCTCTCTCTGAATCTGGAGGGACCTGGAATTAAAACAGTACAATAGATGAGGTTACAATCCTGCTTGAGGCAGAATGGCAGATAGTCTGAAATTGATAGTGTTGAAATGTAGCAGAGAATGAGTAAGAAAATTTATTAAACTATGAAATGATGATGATAAATTTTGGAAAAGACTGATAATGAAAGGGAAAGAAGGCAAAACTTGGTCATGGCTTTTTGTATAAAAAGAAATAATAGAATAGAATTGGAGTAAGCAAAGGCAAAAATTATGCAAAAAATTTAACTGTACTCTTATGGGAGTTCAGGTGATAGCTCTTTTAGCAGAAATTAGTTTTGATGTGAAGAGATTATGTAGGAAGATGCTCAACCTCATGTGTCTAATCATGTTTATGCAGGCCACTGGGTTTTATATTACTTAATAAGCATCAATTAGATTTTGTGAGATTTTTGCAAGATTGATGAGTCTCCTATATATCCCTTGAGATTATGCATCAAGAAAAGGTGTGTAACTGACTTTTCAGAATCAGAATCAGTATGGGTGATGCAAAGCAGATGATAAACAAATGAAATAACCAGTTTTAAGAGGTACTCTGAGCTCATTGGAGAAGAGAAATTTTTAGATGAATAGTTGGAAATTAAAATGCTCTTTCACAATTTGTTCTCAAACTCCTACACTCAATGGTCTGCGTAAAAGTACAAAGAACTTTACAAAGGAAGGGTTATATTAATGACATGCTAGTTTTCAGTACAGTCCTTTGTAGAAGGTACTGCTTTACTTCTGTAGGCTTTCTGATGCTTTACAGTCTCCAATAATGCTGCTGTATGGGCTGTTGTAGAACTATAAATTTTAAGTGTCAATAGAGCAATCTCTCAAAGTTTGAATGCTTAGCAGCAATGAAGGTCTGGTTGGATTCTCTGTCAACCCATTTTGAAGAGCAAGTCTGTTCTTTCCATGTATCTAATAAAACTCATTTAGCACAGGATGATGGAGCTTTCAGAGTACCTACTGTGGTGAATTTTTTTCTGACTGCTCCCCCTTCAAAAGTCAATATAAATAATGGTTATGGCATTTAAATTCATACTTTCTAAAATATTGACAAAGCATTATCACTGTAAACTGTTTGGTTCTATTATCTGATATTTCTGGATAAGTGGAATGTGATTGCATCCGAGTGCAAGAGTAAACAATTTGTTGGTGAGTTGACAGAGAAATGTGACCTGATGTGGTCAATCCCTGGGCAGCAGGGTGTGTGGGAGGATTTTGGCAGATGCCTAGGGCAGTTATCACCTTCCAAGGCCTGGGATTTTATGGCAGAGCACACATGTAGTCCCACTGAATTGGTACAGCATTTGTCAGGGGAATGCTTTGCCTACCCCAGTCAGACCCCTCAGTTCCTTAGCACTGAGACTATTGAGCCTTTTTCAGCTCCATCACAGCAGAGGAAGGAGAGCCTCTGCACTTGAGGACACCATGGCTAAGGCAGGCACCCAAATCCCATGCAGAATAATCACCCCAGCTGTCAAAAAGTGGTAGCAGAAGTTGACAGGTCCATAACATCATTTAGTGAGGGAGGAGGAAGAATCTGGTCAGGAAGCTGGACTTTCTGCAAGGAAGCAGGAGAAGGAAGTGACCAAAGTTTCTCTCTGTTTGAATGTATTTAATTGGCAAGAAATTATTTTAGCTTGCCCCAAGCTAAGTTTTCTGCCTGTGATGGTAATCTCCCTTTCTGTATTTTAATTTGTGAGATTTTTTTCTCTCTGTTTTCTACCTTTGGTCTGTTCAGTAGGGTAGCTGGCAAGTGTCTGGGTGAGCATTTGGCTGCTGACCAAGGTTACAGATGACACAGCTTGCAGTGCCAAAAGCATGATGTTATGTATTTCTCTTTCATTCAGCTCTAACATCACTAACGTAAGAGTATCACAAATACCACCTCACATAGGTGGCTTAGAAGACTGCCTGCCTCTTGCTCCCTGATGAGTCCCTGGCTAATGCATTACTTATCAAATGACTGAGAATGTTAAACTGTTGATGGAATATTATTCATAAGGGAGATGACCATCAGAGGATATGATTATTCTTTTAAATTTGACTAGCTGAAAAAAAGATGCTGTACTCTGCTGTCCAATGCACCATGTCTTCATCACTTGGGCTGCCCCATATTTATGAAAAATCAATGACAAATGTCCACATTCTCCTAAAGCAGCTGAAATGTTTTGCAGGGAAAATATGTTTAATTCCATTAAGAATAAAAATTGCTATTTTTAGGTATTCATGAGATTACAAAGAAATCAGT